AATAAGGACTTATCATATGATACACGTACAGTTGCACATGTATCATACCACCAATCGGAAACATTTTCCTTGATAGTATTAATTTCGCTTACGGTGGCCACAATGTTGTCTTCCTTGATGGAGTTTACTTTTCCTTAGAAGTTGTTTCTTTTCCGGTGTCGACATTCTTTTGCATAATATCCAAATTTTTCACACACAAAACAACCACCTTTGTTCTTCTTTTTGGACTTGTTAAAGTCTCTTGAAAGCTTTCTCTTATTGAATTTATTAGAAGGCCCGATCTTTTCCATCTCATTGACTTTTGAAGTGCCTTCATAAGAATTGACATTTTTTTCTCTTGCCGTCGGATATTTCTGCAATTGTTCCAAAGAATAATCTTTGAAATTATGCATGATTTTCTTCTATATCCTTTCCAAGCTCCAGGAAGTTTTGCAATAATTGCTTCCACTTGAAAAGTTTTCGAAATCTCAATTTTGACCCCCTTCAACTTGTTGACAAACACTTGTAATTCATGAATTTGGAAAAGTAGGGGAATATTCTCAAGAAATTTAAAATCAAAGTACCTTGAAATTAAAAATTTCTTTGTACCTACTTCTTTGGCTTTGTACTTACTTTCCAAAGAGTTTCAGATTTCCTTTGCCGATGTTGTATTGGCGTAGAGATCATATAACCGATCGGATAACGCATTGAGAATGTGACCGCAACATATGAGTTCATCTTCTTGACGCTTTTGTGTTTCGGCTCTCACAGAATCGGTTTCTCCATTTGTTGGTTCCGGTAACGATGCCAAATCCGGATCAAGGATGTAGAATATCTTCAACGTCGTTGGTAGGAACTTCAATTTATCTTGCCATCTCGTGAAATTGGTTCCATCAAAGCAATCCAATTGAACGTGATCTTGATTCATCAACTTGATCATCGCAATTGAGATTGTTGGGAAATTGTATGAAGTCCACCAAGGGAAATGGAGATGAAAGCCACGAACCAAACCAAAAAATGAAGTACACAAAACCAAGAATCAATGCAAAGATGAAAACCGAAAGCTTAAACATGATATCGCTGTTCTCAAACTATATTCACATCTCTTGGATTGAAAATGATGATTGAAGGGATTAAAGCAAACGGTTTGCAGGATTAAACAAGCATTGTAAAGGATTTAACACTCAAGCAAGTGAAATCCTCCAAAACTTAAAGAACACAATGAAGAAATTTGAATATGAAGAAGAAAATGGTTAATTTCTATGCTTTGTGGAATATATATTATTTTTCATCATATTGCCTTGAACATGGATCACCTATTTATAACCATCAAATGTCTTCTACGAAATGGTGCCAAAAATGCATGAAAACCACCAAATTTAAAAACACAAGGGCAAAAAATAACCAGAAAATTGACCTATGCGATTGCATAGGCTTAGTTAAATCAATACCGGGGCCTCAAGCCCTGGTATTAGTCTATGCGACCACATGGTTCTTTGAACTATGCGGTCGCATAGTTCAACTATATGGCCTCAATGCCATTTTTCATTCAACGTCCATTTTATCAACTTGAACAATATTTTTCAACAAAAACATGGAATGAGATTGATATTTACTTCAAGCAGAACCAAATCCATCCTATACTTATTGGAACCAGAGGCCTACAAATCTTGATCTCTTTATGGTGCAAATAAAATCATAACAAACGTACTTGTAGACAAGCAATTTATCCCTTGGCTTCTATCAAAAACCACTGTTAAATCTTAGTTACTTACTTTCCTCTTTTCCTTTCTGAAAAACCACTGTTAAATGTTAGTTATAGCAACAAAATTAATACTGGTATCCAGTTCATAAATAAGAGTAACAAATGGTGTTGTTACCAGATCAAGTATACAAATTTTTATCAAGCTATAAGAATAAAAATGGCATCAAATAGTTGAATTTTCTTTTTTATTTTTAATTTTTCCCTTGGCATTTTGCTAACAAGTGGTGTTATTACCAGATCAAGTAAAAAAAAAAAAAGTTTGATACCACTGCAAGAGAAATAAAATCTTAGACACCAAAACCAGCTATAAATGCCTGGTAATTAAACTACAAAAAGTGGAGATCAGTAGAAGTTGGCACGATTAGAGTAGGGAAATTATAGAACCCTAATCAAATTAGGGTTAAAGATTTATAAGTTGAAATAAAAACATGCTACAATAAAAAGCTCTTTCCAGCAAGAAACCTTGAAACTCCCACTGCACATCATATTCTTCCTTCATTGCTCACCACATGTTATGAAATTCTTGAGCACAAGTAACCATTTTATATAAACAAATGGTACTTTTGCATAGAAACTCCTAAATTTCATAAGTACCTGAGATCGATGAAACGAGAATATTATTTAAACGCTGTTCATCAATACTATCCAAGTCGAAGCTCCAGATCCAATTCCTCTTCTTGACTTATGACCTGTTTCTTCTCCAAATTTTCCATAACTGTTGGCACAAATTCTAAGCTCAAATTCATGCGCCAGTCGTCCCCAAATTGATTCGCTTGTTGTTGATCACGATCATCATGAGAATCCTGTTGATACAAGGGTCTAGTACTAGACGTGGATGCTGGAAAATATGTTCTATAATTTAATGATGCCTGATCGTGATGAGATGCAGTATATTGTACTGGTTGATAACTGGAGAGTATCTGCTGGTGGAATTTTGGGACTGTGTAATTTTCTTCTTGCCTATTGGAATTGGTTGGAGTAGGTTTGTTCCTTGCTCTATCTTTTCTATGGATATTCATGTGACCACCCAAAGCCTGTGCAGTATTGAATCCTCTCTTGCAAAACACGCACTCATACAACCGGCCTACACCTAGATCATTCTTGTCTTGCTCCGACTGCTCAACTTCTTCACTCGAGTTTATCGATTCTTCTTGATGATTTGACTCCATGGAAAATACCCTTTTCTTAGAAAATCTTGAAGAAGAAAGTTGTATATCGTTTTCTTGGATTAAAATAGAGAATTAAGGAGAGGGACTCATAGCAAGGGAGATATATAGAAAAGACAATTTAAGGGCTTAGCAATTTGATTTGAGATCAGTTTGAAGGTGTGGGGAAAGAAGACGTTTGGGGCACGGATTTGATTTTTGTTGATTGACTTATTCCCCTACAGGCCGGCTGCCAGATCCTTATTAAGACATACGCACATCATTTTATTGTATTAATTGCTTTATTTCTCGTACTTGTATTTACTTTTCCTGTAGATATAGTCCAAGGTTCAATCTAGGTTTGTCTTGTGGTCAATACTTTTCCTGTAGATAAAGTCCAAGGCTCAATCTAGGTTTGTCTTATGGTCAATATATGTTGCCCTAGCCCCTTGTGACAATTAGTGACTGACAGTTTTATCTACCAATTTTGCTACCGATTGAGATATCCAAGTGAGCATCGGCTAGGGTATTTGTTTAAGATACGGATACATACATATACATATATATACAGAAATGATCTAATGAGCATCAGTGCTCATCTTATCCTAAACACCAATGAGTTGGCACAATAATTCATTGATGGATTGGAACTCACAAAATTTTTATCCACCAATAAATTAATGTGCCATCTCATCGGTGCTTAAGATAAGATGAGCATCGGTGCTCATTAGATCACTTCTGACACTATAGGGACAATTAGATACATATATAGGTTCACAATCATGCAGAGTCTGCATTACAAAGCACAGATTACAATTTCCAAGATCAACCCTCGATAACGATGAAAATACACAATGCGTTCCAAGACTCGACAGAATCAAATAGTATATAAAAAAGAAGAAGCTGAAATCATATGTATCGCGCCGTTCAATCTGGTTCATGTCACACACGCCTAAGCATAAGCGTGCCTTACAATAAAAAGTTTTTTACTTTTTTTTCTTCCTTAATATTATCCAGTCGAATACCAGCAATTTTACCGAATGTCAGTTGGCTATCTGGACTGGATATTTGTCAATGCAATCATACCAAGGACTCCATGGAGAAAGCTCCGAGTTCCTCATCGCTTGCCAAACTGCACTATTACACTTAAACCCACTTCCAAATGCAATTTGCCAAATCCGATGCCCTCTTCGGATCCTCCGTTTTGCCTCGATATACGCCAATTCATACCAAATCGAACTCGATGAAGTATTACCAAATCTGTGCAGAGTCATTCGAGAAGCCTCCACGTGAACTGGATCGAGCTGCAAATTCTTCTCCAGTTCATCAATCACTGCCCGCCCGCCAGCGTGTATGCAGAAATGATCGAAGGCGAGTTTGAAATCAGGTATGTAGGGTTTAATTTTGGGATTGAAGAATTTTCGTGCAATTAGGGTTATAAAAAAGAGGAATTGTTCACTGATTGGAAGAACAAGTGGACCTAATGTTGTGATGTTTGTTTTTAATGCATTTCCAGCAATTGCCATCAAATCTTTTGATAATGAGACTCCAGTTTTACCCTTTTTGTCTTGTTCTTGATACACACATTTGAAGGCTGTATCGTCTGCTCCTTTGTGCGTTCTTACAACATGAACAAGCTTGTATTTCGCCCTTTTCTTCTCTGATTGTTTGTTTGACAGCAAAATTGCTGCTCCACCTACCCGGAACAAGCAATTGGGGATTAACATTGACTTCTTGTTCCCGAAGTACCAATTCTGCGTAATGTTTTCAGTACTCACAACGACTGCGTATGTATTTCTATGAACTTGAAGCATGTCTTTAGCAAGATCAATGGCGATAACTCCAGCACTGCAGCCCATTCCACCTAAGTTAAAGCTCCGTATATTCCCTCGTAATTTATAGTTATTGATGATCATTGCAGAAAGTGAAGGGGTTGGATTGAACAAGCTGCAATTCACTACAAGAATGCCAATGTCCTTGGGCTTTACGCCAGTGGATTTGAAAAGATTGTCGAGTGCGCCAAACATGACCTGTTTAGCTTCCTCACGCGCCGCCTCCATGGTGGGCCGCGGTGGAATATAATGCATTGCCTCCGGCACATAAGTTTCTTCCCCAAGACCGGACCGTTCCAAGATTTTGCGCTGAAACTCGAGAGAGGATTCATCAAAATCACCTGTCAGTTTGGAGTGTTCCATGAACCGGTTGAATTTTACTTGAAGGTGATCGGGAGGACGATAACAGGCGTAATCCACGAGGTAAACGGGTCGGGGTCGGGTCAGGATGTAGACGGTGACTCCGAATACAAGTATAGTACAAAAAACAATGACGAGAACAAGATTACACTGGAGATGGAGATAAATATTGTATACATCTTCATAGTTCATTTGTGATGCTTGAACGAACAGAATGGCCATTAAAGGGACTAAACAGAGTTTACAAAAGTGGGTCATCAAGTAATGGTACCCAAGTTTCACATACTTAAGCTTCACACTTTGAAGGTAATCTGGGAGTCCATTTCTACCGGTGGCGCCACCAGAAACGGCGGCGGAGTTGGACACTGAACTGCTCATTTTTGTTAACTGGGTGATGGATTTAGTATGTGAAAATTTGTTTTCTTGAGTAAAAACAATTATAAACAGGCTGTGTATATATAGTGTATGTAGATGAGTAGATGGATCTGGAATTGAAAGGGGTAGATGCAACTACAGCAACGGCCGAAATGCCAAGGAGATAAAGATGGAGACAGACACGTACGGAGTTGGAATTCAAAATCAATGGCTTGTGGGGGAAAATTATCGAGATTTTCTAATCTGTTTCTATTTTATTTGAATTTTGCTCCTTTGCCAGAAAACGGCTGCCCACTTGGGTGACCGACTCTCACAGGAGGGTGGGACCGACGTGGGGCCCATACAAAATAAAAAATGAAAAAAAAAGCTCCCTCCCCCCAATGTGAGTAATCTGTCGGGGGGGTGGTGAGCACTGCAGCTCGGTGCCAGATATGTGTGATTTGAAGAAATTAATGCTCGAAATGTGTCAAAAGTTTTGGGACTATTTTCTTGCGTGAATAAATGATGAACTGGTTCTTCAACCATTGGTGACGAATGAATG